CTGAAAGGGCGAGCATGTTTGGTGTGATGGGGATGCGAACCCGCGACCCGCAGATTGCGAGTCGAGCATTCTAACCACCTGGCCATGCCGGTCCAACTCTTTGGAGTGTGTACTTGATGGCAGATCACTTCTCTTGCCTTGATGGGATCCATCCCACAGAATGGCCTTTACATCTTTTGGGCCTTCTGTTGGATTTTTTTTTCCCATTTTGAAACCTCTCAGATCAATGCTTTTACGATTCCCAGTTTGGAGGTCTGTCTTCAACCGACTTTGGTCATCCCTCTTTCGTGATGGGGTGTCATGCCTTCATCTTTACGTGTGGGATTTGACCAGTCCCTTGCATAATGTATGGAATTTTCCCACAGGGTAGCCCATTTTCTCTTACACTCTTGTCAGCCTTCTACTTTCACCCTCTTTCAGCTTACCTGTGCTGTCTACCACCACTACCTTCGGCCAGGTCATCCTACTTCTCTATGTCTTACTTACTTCTTCACCTGGCTTTTTATCTAAGGCCTGTCATTTTCAACCAATGCATGTTACCATGGGGCATTGTTTACATCCTTCTGCCTCTTGCCTCCACTCTTCCTTTTGCCTCCACTCTCATCCAACCTTTCTCTGTACTGGAATCTTTGTGTAGTTCTGAAGTCATGGGCTTTTCCCTTTCTGCCATTATTTCAGAAAGGAGCTCATCTTTGTGATTGAACAGCACAATCTCCTCCACCATTTTCAATTTGAGATACTAGCTTTTGGTGATTCAGAGAGGAAAGCAGTGTTTCTGGAGTTAATGTTTTCATTACATGAAAATGTATTTTGGATAGATGCTTAGCTCTTTGCAACATCTTCCCACTATTTCTCTCCACTTCCAGTGCATTTTCTTTGTCTCGTAAAGTTTATGATCACAGGGATTACTACACCATGGAGGTCATGTTCACCCTCCTTTGGTGAATGGCTAAAGCATTATGATGATTGCATCATAGGCTGGTGCAATACATATAGATACATTTAGAGATGGGAGTTTGTTCAAGGCTTGTGGCATGCACAGTAAATTCCATGGCAGTTGTGCACAAGTTAATAGCTCTTAGGTGCAGAAAGATAAGTATATATATATATGAAATATGTTTTTGTATAAGGACAATTTTAATTTTTGTATGTATCAAACTGTAGAATGCCAGGGTTATTAAGCTGTTAAGTAGTAAACTACAAAATGTTGTGATGTAATAATTTTGTTATAGAAAGTTATATGAATGTATAATGTATGTTGGTAAATTCCAATGTTGGAAGCAATTATGTATATCTTCTTCAATTTCATATTTTGATTTAATAGACTTTACCAGAAACTGAACTTAAATCTAACAATCTTTTGGATCGTATATGATAGGTTCAGAGCTGTTTGACACCTAACACAGTTTGATTTCCTCTTTCAGCTGATATTGTGCTTCCATGTCGTTTTTTTTATATCCCCTGTTGAATGGATGTTTTGGAATGCTGAAGTTCTGTATTCTTCAGTTTTGGCAGTTCTTGAACTCTTAAGGGACTGCTATCATTTCAGAGTCAAGAAAGTCCCATGTTTAGTAAGGGTTCCTTTGACAAAGACAGTAGGTGTTCAAAATGAAATGCATTTTTGGGTAAAGAAAATTGTAACTTTGCTGTGTAACAGCCTGTAAAATGCCAAGGTTATTAAACTTTATAAACACTTATATACTAGTCCCAGTTCATCTTGATACTTTTGTTACCAATGTATTTGCATGCTTATTCAATTCTGGTGTTTTCCTTTATACACTGTATGATTTCACTGGAATTGCCAGTGGTCTGGCTTCCTGTTGTCTTCATTATACAGTTATAGTTATCATAGTAGTTTTGATAAGCACATCTAGATACCTATTGTGGTGTTTCATGCAGTGAAAATTTCTGCCATGAGATATTAGAGAGTTCTGCATAGAAATTCTATCAAACCTACACTCATGTTCATTATTGTGTTTGAGCTTAAAGACCTGCTTGTTGCTGTTTGCAGCAGCTTATCCACATTTAGATTTACATGCATTTAATTTTGAATATGCATATATATATGTATACATATATTTTACCATAAGTCATTTAGAGAATCACTCATGCATTACCCAGGCATTAAGCATTTTAGAGAATCACCCACATTTGACCCAGTCATGAGTTTTTAAACAGAATTACCCATGCTTTACATTGTCATGAGTGTTTTAGAAAATCATCAATGCATTACTCAGTCATACATTTTTTTAGATAAACACCAATTCTTTACCTAGTCATAAGTTCAAAGAACCACTCATTCTTCACACAGTCACAAGTGTTTCAGGTATTCACCAGTTCTTTACTTTGTCATTTCACAGAGTTACCCATGATATTTTCCCACTGTTTTGACTTATATCTATTCAGGTTGTATTTCATGTTTACTGTAATTGCAACAAGCATTTTATTATGTCATATTAGTTGTCAGATATCCAAGAAATGTCTGCTCCTCTTACACGTAAGTTTCAGATTTTCTGTTTTGTTTAAAGGAAAATAATAAAATCAAATTTTCTAAATTTATTTGGTAAACTTAAAAGAAATAATGTAGTTAAGTATATTTATCAATTTTGTTTTTTATAATAACCTTTATAGGTGGTCATATTATGTGAACAATTATGATGTAGAAATGAATGTTGTAAGTAGTGTGTATTTCATGTGCTTTAAATTGGAAATATATTTATTATAAGACAACTAGTCCAGGTGATACCTAGATTTATGTATTGTTATTACCTGCATGTACTGATTTTCACTGCTTTTAGGACTAGTTGACAAAAGTATTATTGTATGTTAGGTCTGTGGTCCGTTACTGTTCCAGTGTCTTTGGAAAGCTTGTAGACAGTATCAGCCCATACATCACTTCAATTCTTGTTCAAGGAAAACAGGTACAAAATGGTATCAGTATGTACTACAATTTTTAATCTCCATGGAAAGCTATTAATAAACAATAGCAACCCTCTTATCACTTACATTCTTGCTCAGGGATAACAGATTATTAACAGTATCAATCTCTGCATTACTTCTTTTCCTTTTCAGAAGAAACAGCCAATTAAAAAAGTTTCTGTATCAATTCTTGTTTAAAAGAATAAGACAATAAATGTAGTATTTGTATCACTTCTGTTCTTTTGCAAAGTAAACTTTATAAACAGTTCTATTATCACTTTATTTTTCTCTATATAAATAAATAATAGTATTATTCCCTGTATAAATTTGTTTATCACTCCTATTCAGAAAGAGTGTCTTTAGATGTTTTGTTTATGAGTGTAGAGTTTGTTGAAGGTATTCTGTTTGTTAATGTGGTATGTAGAAGGCATACAATTTGTGTGTTCAGTCTGTGTGTGTTCTGTTTGTGAGTGTAAAGTGTTTAGGTGTTCTATTTGTGAGCTTAGAGTCTATAAAAGATATTGAGTTTGTGATTGTAGTGTATAGAAGATTTTAGTTTTCTGATTAGTATTTATTGAAGATATTGATTTTCTGATTATTGTTTATAAAAGGTATTGATTTTATCACAAGTATCTATAAAAGATTTAATTTTGTGATTAGTATCTCTATAAATTACTGATTTTATGACTGTAGTGTCTGTAGAAGTATTTAATTTGTGAATTTAGAGCCTATACAAAGTATTGTTTGTGAACATAGAGTTTATAAATAGTATTCAGCTTTGGAATGTAGAGTCTGTATATAAGATATTATGCTTGTGTTTGTAGAGTTAGTATATAAGATATTCTGTTTGTGAATGTAGAGTTTGTATATAAGATATTCTGTTTGTGAATGTAGAGTTTGTATATAAAATATTCTGTTTGTGAATGTAGAGTTTGTATATAAAATATTCTGTTTGTGAATTTAGAGTTTGTATATAAAATATTCTGTTTGTGAATTTAGAGTTTGTATATAAAATATTCTGTTTGTGAATTTAGAGTTTGTATATAAGACATTCTGTTTGTGAATGTAGAGTTTGTATATAAGATATTCTGTTCGTGAATGTAGAGCTTGTATATAAGACATTCTGTTTGTGAATGTAGAGTTTGTATATAAAATATTGTATTTGTGAATGTAGGATCTATATCATATATTCTGCTTGTAAATGGAGGACCTATATCATATATTCTGCTTGTGAATGTAGGATCTATGTCATATATTCTGCTTGTGAATGGAGGACCTATATACAGTTGCATATATGAATGTAAATGGCTTTCATTTTGTGAATATCAGGTTTCTCTAATGTACAGAATGTACACATGCACAGATTATGATATATAGCCTTTGTTTGTGAATGTAGTTTGTATATAAGATATTATGTTTATGAATGTAAAATCTGTATATCAGATATTATGTTTATGAATGTAAAATCTGTATATAAGATATTATGTTTATGAATGTAAAATCTGTATATAAGATATTATGTTTATGAATGTAAAATCTGTATATAAGATATTATGTTTATGAATGTAAAATCTGTATATAAGATATTATGTTTATGAATGTAAAATCTGTATATAAGATATTATGTTTGTGAAGGTAGAATCTGTAGGTGTCATTGTGAATATAGAGTCTGTCGGTGTTAAGGCTGTCAGAAGTACTTGGAAATGGTTCAGTTACAGCTACTAACTGGTTACACTTTTGAATAACCAGTAACCATGTCTGAAACTGTTATATTCCATAAACATGATAAAACAACTTGAACAATATTCACCTCTATTCTCTAAGAGTGTCAACAATGATTTAATATTCTGGCCGTTATATTTTTTATTATTGAGAACCAACTGTGCAAAAGATATTTGCCATTTGTTGAAGTTTTACAAATGCTGTGATAATTTTGTTTGCAATATAGTAAATGTTTCCTATTATCAACATTTTTGTTTATTCTACTTCAAATCTGATTCAAATAGCATGGGACATATAGACAGTAATGAACAATGTTTTGTTGTTCATCAAACACAAATGCAACATTGCTTCTGAATAAGTCACTTTTATTGAAACTACATAACTGAACGTTTCTTTTTTAGGAGCATTTTATTGTTTCAGGTGACAAATAAAGATATATAATTAAATTCAGAATATATATAAATGTTTGAGTTCAGTGAGACGAGTCAACGCCCTCATTCACAAATTATCAGCTTTATTCACATAAGGAAGCATTGGTTCAACCAGAAAACATCAGTAAGTGATACAAAAATACCAATATATTGTAGCAATGAAAGAGACAAATATTAATTATACATAATTTTGGATGATGTATGCTACTATTTTAATAAAATATACCATGTCTACTGATAAAAAAAAACAAAAAACACTATATATATGTACTACAACTACCATTATAATAATAATAAGAAGAAGAAGAATAGTAGTAGGAGCTGTAATAGGAATACCAGTTCGTGTTTTATAAGTTTTTGCCTGAAAGAAAAAAATGAAAGTAAAAAAAAAAAGCCTTGATGAGATTCTACATCTTCTTTTGGCCACTTCTACTTCAGTGTACTGCACAACATGTAACAAAATGTGTTACAATCACTCTTTCTCAGTTCTCACGGCTACATCTGAAAATCAGTATTTCGTAACGAAGTTATAAATACAAATAGGGTTAATTGCAGGGTTTTTTTTTTTACTCCAAACTATTTTTTCATATTTCGGGGGACTGTAAACATTCCCGGTGGGTAACTCATTATGAGTCTATTACATAGCCATGAGCAACCAGTTACAAAATTTCATACGTGTGACAGCCCTAGTATGGGTTCTGTTTGTGTAAGTAGAATCTTTGTGTTCTTCTTTTGTGAATGTAGAGTATGTAAAAGTTCTTTAGATTGTGATTCTAGTGTCTACAAATTATTTATTTTCTGACTGGCATATGTAGAAGTTATTAGTTTTCTGATTAATGTTAATGTAAGATTTCAGTTTGTGAATGTAGTCTGTATATAATATATAGTTGGGGAGCATGATCTTGAATTTGAGGTTTTGCGGACATCTCGTGTTATTGTGGGCTACTTTATGTTTTATTGAATTTCAGGCCTACCTAAGTAAGAATCAAGATGACAACCTTCTGAGATCACCGTACCTCACTCTGAAAGTTGCATTTACATTTGTGCCTATTCAGTCTCTGAGAGCCATTTTGCCAGTATATTAAATTTCTCTCTATTTGTGTCAATTTCCGTATGTAACACCATAATATGCAGAATGGCAATATCCCATGCAAATGAATAGTACCCATATTAATATATTAATTTTTATCAACTGGAAAAGGAAAAAAATGTGAAAATTATGGCACAAAACCAGCTGATGATGAGTTTCAAACATCTGTATAACTTTAAGATTGCCCAAATTTGACACAAATATAGGGAAATTTAATATATCAGCAAACTGTCCCTTAGAGACAGCATAGGCACAAATGTAAGTACAATTTTCAGGATGAGGTACACTGATCTCGGAAGGTTGCCCTCTGGATTCTTACTTAAATAGGTCTGAAATTTAATAAAACACAAGGTAACCCAAAATAGAACGTGGTTTCCACACCATGCTCCCTGACTAATATTATGTCTATGAATGTGCATTCTGTGTATGAGGTATTCTATTTATGAAGGTAGTCAAGTTTCTTTATATAAGGTATTATGTTATTGAATGTAGGGTCTGTAAATGATCTATTTGTGAATGTAAAGTCTGTCAGTGTTGTATTTGTGACTATAGTGTGTGTGAAAAGTGTACTATTTTTTGAGTCTAGACTAAATGTTCTGTTTGCTTTAGTTTGTAGTATTAATAATTCACTGGCATTTTATAAGTTGCTGCTTTTTTGTTTGTTTTATTATATTTCTGTATATGCATAACAATTTGTACTGTTTCTTGTTTGATCTCTAGTATTTATAATTAACTGGAAATTTATAAATTGATCTTTTTTTTTTGCTTTGTTTTGTTTATATAGATATTATTTATAATTCACTGATAATTTTAAGTAGTCTTTTTTTGTATTCTTATTTTTATATTGATACTCAACAGTTTGTCCTATTTATTGTTCATTCTGTAGTATTTATAACTCACTGGTAATTTTAAGTAGCCTTTAGTTTGTTTTATTATGTTTATATAGATACATGACAGTTTGTACTATTTCTTGTTTAATCTGTGGTACTTGTAATTCACTGGTAATTTTAAGTAACTGTCTTTGTTTTTTATATTTCTGTTGATACTGGACAATTTGTCCTATTATTATTTAATTTGTAGTATTTATAATTGACTGGTACTTTATTTATAATTTTTTCATTGTTTTCTTACACTTATGTTTATTTAGATGCTTGACAGTTTGTCCTGCATAATGTTAATTTGTAGTAATTATAAGTTATGGGTAATTTTAATAGTTTAAATTATTTTTTATTTCATTTATATAGATTCTTGACAGTTTGATCTGTTACTTGTTTAATCTTTAGTATTTATAAATAATTGGTAATTTTAAATATAATTTATGTGTTTTCTTAAGTTTATGAAGATATACTTGACAGTTTATCCTGTTATTTTTTTAATCTGTACTATTTATAAATCATGGGTAATTTTAACCCTCTTGCTATGGGCATCTTTTTCTCTGCATGTCACAAAGTTTTAGTGAGTTATGTTCAAAAGCTAGTTTAACTATTTTCTTATTGTGGTATACGAATAAACTTGGCATAAAAACTTACCTAATAATTCAAATTTTAATAGTATATTCTTAATTTTGTAAGACAATATTTTTTTAAATCGTGAATTTCCCCTAGTATGAGAATTGTGGCATTTTGTCTCTAGACATCCCCTCTTTAATTTATTTACCACCCATCCAAGAAATATGAAATTTAATGCAAATTACTCATTATAATGTTGTTATCACTCAGGCAAAGCATAATTTTCATAGCCATCAATCTTATTTAGTTACAAAGTGATAAAATAGAAAATCAGACCCATCTTGCCATGCCCACCTGTCACATCCTCTATTTCAGAAATTGCCAATTGTTCTCTCTGATATGTTAATCTATCAATTGACTGTTATGCAACATTGTTATCTGTATAGATAACTGTCTATTTCACTTACAGTTGAAACTTTATTCCCATGGGAAACACATCAATGAGATTATCTGAATTTTTTAATTGCTCTTGTCGCATAGTTAGAATGCAAGAAAAATTATGATACTTAGAGGACATTGTCTACTTTTTGCATAATATTATTCTGTGTTCTTTGCTGAATTATTTAATTAAATAAATATTATTTAGTGCAGTACCATTAATATAAAGAAGTAGGGTTAAGTGTCATCGACAGTTGACAGCAAAAAAAAAAAAAGATCCAGGTAAGTACTTTATTTTTTGTTTTTCATGTGTATTCTTTATTTATTAGTATGAAAGTAACTAAAATGTAAAAATATGAAACTTTATAGGTTAGATAAGGTTAAATTAGGTAAAATAAAGAATGATGATAATAATAATAAAAATGTTTCATAAGGTATGTTTGTGAGTAGCCTGTGCATTATGTAATTCGATAGGGTAACATGAGCTATATGGTTGCCAAGTGATTTACAACTTATCTGGCATGAATAATAGTAAGACATAGCTCAAAGTGCTATAAAATAATAAAATTCAAGTAGAAACATATGTGTACTGTTACAAATTTAAAGCTATTTAGGATAAACAGGTGTAGTTTCACATTACAATTTGAAGTTATTCTAGAAAGAAAAAGAGGGTAATTTAGATTTATATAGTTTTTTTTTTTTTGGTGGGGGGTTACCAACCTTGTTTAGAATTAGGGTAGAAAATAACAGATAAAATATAAAGTTTTACTGAAAGAAATGTCTCAACTTTATTTAGGAGGTTTTTGAGATTATACATGAAATTTGAGAATTTTCAGATGAAGACAAGTAATGTTAATCTTAACATGAAAATCACTTTGCACTCATAGCAGTCAACACTGACTATATATTCATGGAGAAATTTTTAAAAATTCTAATTTTTTGCTTACAAACAACTCTTCATGCTTACTGAAAGCTTACAAAATTGCATGAAGATACACAAAACAGAAGTTATAGTATAAAAGTCTAAAGGTCAATTTGGGCTCAATTACTCATAGCAAGAGAGTTAAGTAGCTTTAACTTTATTCCTGCATATCAGTTACATTGAGTAACTGTATCTCTTATAGTGATTATTTATCAGATGTGTAGTCTTTCAAATAGTTTGGAAATGATGTTGGATGTGCACTTATTGGGGGAAGGGCAGGTTAGCATTTCTGTAGTAAAATGGCAGTGACCTGAGGTGAAACATATGCTATTATTTGAGAGACACTAAAGCCAAATGTATTTTAGTGCACAGCTAGAAGTGCAAGTAGGGTGTTTTGCAACAGTATAACATACAGTATTTCATACCACCATTGTTTTTTTGTATAGGTATACATACTGGCAAATATCTCCCCCACTTTAACTTCTGTATATGTGTAATAAATTATTCTGAATTGTCTTTCATTCTCTACAAAACACAGATTACTGTTGGTGTGTTTGGTCATGAAGAAGTTGTTATTGATCATCCATTGACCCCCAAAGAGGTAAGAGAGATTGTTTATTCTCAGTGTCAGCACCATGACATATACCAGGCTGTCTTGCAACAAGAAATCATTCTCTACATAGGCAGACTAATCACAACCACTCCACATCTCTTTCATGGAATTCTTAAGATACGAATTGGGTGAGTAATCCTGGTCTAATATCTGTTTGAAATTACTTCAATACTTGTAAATTGTGTCTACCATCTGGGGTTTGCAAACGTAATGAAAAATCATTGAATGAGAATATGTGTGTTACATCTTTTTATGGATGTTTCAGAATGCATTGAAAGTAATCTTTGTGTCACTTTTGTTTTATGGAAGTCTCAAGATACTTATTGTTGAGAAGCTTGTCTGTTTTATAGGTCACTAAAATTTTAGAATTTTACAGAAAAAATTGTTAAGACATTCTTTGTTTATCAGCAGTTTTTATATTTACGTTATAAATATACAATAATGATATTGTTCTCTTAACTATGTTCAATTAATTTTCATCAGTTTTTTCATGCTCCAAGTCAGTGTGGTAATAATCCTCATTTCATTATTTTCATCTTTTGCTTTCTTTTCATATTTTATGTGTGTTTGAAAAGGCATCTTCAACCCTTTAGGCACATACTTTTTTCTGCCATATCATGCTCAAAATCATCATCAGATAACTTAGGTTCAGAATCATCATCAACTTGCACAATTTCAACTGTCTCTTCAATTGTGAAAGGATTGGAATGAGTTGATCCTATTTTAGGTTCATTTTCTCATAAAAATTAAACAATTTTCAACTGCAAATGTTACTGCTGTTTTGAGTAGCATGAATAGCAAAATATGCTATGTTGGATACACATCAAGAGCTGAGATTGCCATCTGTACAGATTAGGCATTGTCTGTTGATTTTGTGTGTTCAATTCACATTTCTAGTAGGAAATTCAAGCCACATTATGTGGTCACCATACAGCTATGGGTGTGCCTAAAGGGTTATACAGCTATATTACAACATAAAAACGTCATTTTATGAATTTCTTTAAAATGGTAAATTTCTGCACAAACTAAGATGATCTGTAAACGTAGAAAAAGCTGAGAATGACAAGCTGAACGAATATACATGCAAGAACAATTTAAAGCATTCCTCCCGAATTGTAGTTCAATGCTGCCCTCTATATGCAAACTTTTTCTTTATGCATGCCAAAAGCCTTCTGCTCTTTCCTTTGTTGGAATTACTATATTCCAACATGTCTCTTATGCAAATCATCATGTGTCATCTCTTAACTCTTTCGACACGGGTCAGTCAATTTGATCGAGTCACGTGACCTTCTGTACTCGTTTAAAGTTGACATCAATTTAATACTTGTAAATCTCTACATATATTAGGTATATCTTCATGACATTTGGCAGTCTTTCAGTTAATATTACAAGTCTTTCACATACAAAAAAATATATTTTTCAGTGAAGTGTTTTTAATAAAATAAAATAAAGTTTTAAGACAAAATTTGTCATGTGTGTTACACTGGTGGAAATTCAGGATTTTTTTGTATATCTCCTTTTAGAATTAAGAACCTAAAACTTGTATACTATTAAAATATGGATTATTAGCTAAGAATTTATGCTATTCTAATTGGTATGACTTAAACAAAAAGTAGTTTAATAAAATTTTGAATGTAAGACACTAAAACCTTGTGTCATGTACAGTAAAGGGTATCTGTGCCGATAGGGTTAACCAATAGTAGCATGATATGCTCATGTGATGCATGTGACTCCCTCTAAACTCCTCTACCGAACCTTCATTTCTCGTTTGGCAACACTTGAGTCAAGATGTACTCTTTTGTGTGCCTAGTGCTTCCATTGTGACAAAAAATTTTGTTTTTTCACACGAAGTGGTTCCTTTTTGACTTTATTTTCTTTTAAACCAGTTCATTCTTGTCGTTATATTTTTCCATTCTAATTTTGTGAAACTTTTCTTGTGCTATGAATTCCCGAAGATCATGATATCACTTTAAGGATCACACCAGCAACCAGTGTTTTTTCTCAAGTGCAGGTGATCTGATGGTGGATCTCTCTGCTTTTATACGTTGGGATATTGAGTGCTACATGGGTCATTCTTTGTCCCCAGGCTCCTCCTGAGTCAGCTGAACTTGTTCAGAATGATGAGGACTTTGATCGACTTTTCCCACCTCCAGAGTTTGCTGTTCCTCCCCATTTGCAGCCTCAAGTTTGTGATGTTTTATCTCTTTCCACTATCTCTTATTCACCTTGTCCTTCCCTGTTACATGAATGAGCTTCCCAACCATTTTTGGTTTTTCCTCCATCCCCTGATATTCGGGTACATGCGGATCAATTTGACTTACAATTAAATGAGAGGATCAGCATGCTGTGCCCCCTGAGGACTTCTGATCAGTTCATCCTTTCTTACCATCGTGCGGACTATCCATTTTTAGATCAGGATTGTTAAGTTCATTGTTACCTATTTGGGTGGCAGTTCCCAAGTCAAATGTTAATCTTACCCATGCCAAATATTCTCGCTTACATCTTACCCTAACCAACCTCTTACAGTATATTTTTTGTATACATCTCCTATCAGAGGCTCTCCACAGAAATCCTGAGGGGTTTTCTGCAGATACCCTTACCCTCCACTTTAGCCCATATTTCTTCTTAGGCTCTGTCATGACATATGGGGTTTATTTGTTGTTGGGACCTTATAGATTGGGATAGGCTTGGGTCAATTTACCCTCAACATATCTCAGAGATTTACGTTTTGCACCTTCTCTGAGATGTTACATCTTTGATACAGTCCTGGAAACTATCGAGCCTCGGGTGACATCGGTATGCCAGCAATCAACCTTTATGATTTTTGTAGCCCGTTTGCCTGGGCCAGAGCCTCATATTCCACTTATTCCCTGTCCTTCATCCTCCCAACCCTTACCCATTTCTTCTAATCGGGGTACTTCTTCTCATCAATTTCCTCAGTGACGTAACCACCAGTACTGGTGACTACCCTGTGGGTTTAGGCCTAGTGGGAGCTTGGGTATTAGAGTTTCTACCTTGCTGGCATCCCTTCATCGACAATCAATGGGTGATATGGGTTCTGTCAGAAAGATTCATTATCCAGTTTCTTTCCCCACCTCCTGTTTCTCCTTACTCCATTCCCTTCCCTCCTCAAGATTCCATGATCTGCCAGCATCTGTCAGAAGCGGTTCAAGAATTGCTTTTGCAGTGGGCAATTGAACTGGTTCACTATCCTTCTGGTTTTTTTTATTCCCTTCTTTTCATTGTCCCAAAGAAAAGCAGGGATTGGTGGCTGGTCATCAATTTATCTTGCCTCAACATCTTCATCACACTTCCCAAGTTTACCATGGAGTCTTTTCTCACCCTAAGATTGGCGTTTTCCCCAGGGTTGTGGATGACAAAAATAGATGTCTCCAATGCTTACCTCCACATACCTATAGCACATCAGTCTCGACCTTACCTTCACTTTGTCCATTTCGGGGGTTTACCAATTTTGGGCTCACCTAGGATCTTTATGTGTTTTGTCGCATCGTCCAGGCTTTTGCACGTCATCTCCATGCTCCGTGGATGCAATTTCATTATTACATGGATGACTGGTTCCTTCTGGCTTATTCCAAACAGAAATCAGCTACTCATCATACTCACCAACTCTTTTCTGTAGCAGCTTGAGCAGGCTGGTTGATCAGATTGGAGAAGTCATTCCTTCGACCCACTAAATATCTAGTCTATTTGGGGGTCTTTTTCAACATGAATATCAGTCACACTCTGCCTTCTCCTTTATGTCTTCGTTCAATCGAATATTTTGCTCCCGGCTCAATTCTCTTCCTATTTCCCTGTGAAACAATCTGCAATGGTGGCTGGACAAAGTCCATACGTCGGTGGGTGTGCCACTTTCTCCACAGCATCAAGATCTACATCTTTTCATGGATGCATCACTTCTGGGATGGGAGCATGGGTCATTCACCAGGAAGCTTTAGGCAATTGGTCTGCAGATGAAACCATTTTGCATATTAATGGTCTTAAACTTTTAGCAGTACATTGGGCATTGCATCACTTACTTCTTCTCGCCTGTCATTGTCTGGTGATAGTTCATTTGGACAATTCCATGGTGTTGGCACATATCAACCATTAAGGGGGCACCTGGCCCAGAGATCTGTGTTTTTGGACATTGGATCTCTTATACTGGGCCCAAGCACATCACATTCATATTATATTATGTCAAATGTCAGGTGCTTTCAATTTTGTCGCAGATCAATTTTCATGCCCCAACCAGATTTATCCATTGGAGTGGGGAATTAGATCCACTCATTTTCTGGGATCTTTACCATTGGTGTGGGTTCTCCCCACTTGGATGCCTTTGCCATGGACATCAATACAAATTTTCTCCTCTTTTGGTCACCTGTACCACATCCACAGGCTTTGGCGGTCGTTGCCTTCAGCCAGAATTGGTCGCACAGATATCTTTATGTGTACCCTTCCATCTGATTGCTTCATCAGGTGATTTCTTTTGTCCACTTCGTTCCTTGTCGGGTCCTCCTGATTGCTCCCTATTGGCCAGCTTAACCTATCACCATCTGTTCTTCTTCCACTTTCTCCCTCCCTTCTTCATCAACCTCGATCCCACATTCTACATCCCAATCTCCACATCCTTTGTCTTCATGCCTGGCTTCATGAAATGATCTGGTTTCACTTCTCGAGTCACTTCCTTGTTAGCTAGTTTCATATGGCTATCTTCCATGGAAATATACCAACGCAAGTGGAAAGTTTTCCACTATTGGTCTGTTAACAGGGGGTTTCCTGCTTACAAGCCTTCTGTGGCTCATGTGGCAGAATTTCTCACCTGGCTCTTCGATTGTGGGTCTTCAGTCTCCTTGCTCTCCGGATATTGGGTAACCCTATCCCATACCTTCCATTTTTCCAGATACCATAGGGTTTTACCTCCCTTGTTCTTACCATACTCATGCATTCTTTCCAGATACATCAGCCTCCCAGGTGTCCTGCCCTTCAGGATTGGGACACTAATGTGGTCCTCCATGCTCTTACTTGACCTCTGCTTGAACCACTTTCCTCATGCTCCTTGTTTCATCTGTCCCTTAAAATATATTTCCTTCTCAGCCTGTGGATGTTGATGATCGAATTTGTTTGCGATTGATGTTTCATGTACCCTTTATCACCCTATTTGCTCCTTTATCCTGATTGTACCTTTCTCCCTAAGACCTTGCAGCTCAGAAGGGTTCTTCATCCTTTTCTCCTATTTGCCTTCCTTCTATGTCCCATCTTTACCCTTGACCAGATTTGGATAGGCTTCTGTGCCTGGTCAGGGCCCTTCGTTGTTATGTAGCGCATACTGCTATCTTTCAGGGTACATGCAAATGACATTTTATCCCATAGCAATTCTCCTCCCTTTGTGATCTTTCACCTTCTACCCTTACTAATTGGGTCCACATTTTAGTTTGTTTGGCCTACTCTTTCCTACCTCTTCCTCCCATACCTTATTCCATGTTTCCACCCATGAGATCCGACATCTCATCTTTTCCCTTGCTTCTCGTCTTCATTGTCTGATGGAGAAGATTCTACAGTCTGGCATGTGAACCACTCCCAGTACGTTCATCTACTACTATCTTCATCATGTCGCACTTTCCTCTTCGTCGGGGTTTCGTCTAACACCTGTGGCTGTTCTCCAGACTTTGGTGCAATTATAGCTGGTAAGTTTTATTAATTTTTTTTTTCAGGGGCCTTTATCTCCATTTTTATCACATGGATTCCACTCTGTGGCGAGTGGTGCCTGACCAGCTATTCTTTAACTCTAAATCCACACTGCACAGCCATGTTGACTCGTGCTTTATTTTCCATGGCTTTGAATGCTTACCATCGAGATGAGGTGTTCCACAAGATTGCTTGATGGCAAATAATCTCGAGATATTTTTCTTCATAAACATGCCCATCCTGGACTGTACCACCCATGGACTGCATGAATAAAGCAGTAGGGTATTGCTGCCTATCCCTGCTATGCCTCAAGTGAATAACTCAGTATGGTCTGCTTTTCAAAATAAGGTTTTGTGGTCACCCATTGCACTGTCTCCAGTGTTGACATTCCTCTGGACTCTCCACCACATTGTCTCCCTCCTTTCGTCGAGTGGAGTATGGGATTCCTTACCATTTTCTAGTTCCAAGCTGCTGGGGTGGTTGACCATGGAGGCACCCTCCTAAATGAGTTCCACAAAGTAAGGGCTAGAACCATTCACTTGAGAGTAGGACAGTGGTGTTCTGCTGGTGTAGATGAGGTGTGGCCTTTTGATACCATTTACACAACCACCGGAGTTGAACTGTCACCTTACTGGATGACGTTGCTCCTGGATACCATTTACACAAGCATGGGAGTTGAGCTGTCACCTTATGGGATGACATGGTCTTCTGATTCCAGTTACACAAACACTGGAGTTGTGCTGTCACCTTATGGCATGACATGGTCTTCTGATTCCAGTAACACAAACACTGGAGTTGAGCTGTCTCCTTACTGGATGATGTGGCCTCCTGGAGTTTAGCTGTTAAAATTGCAGTCCACCCCTTAAATTAGGAGACCCCATCCTACCCTTGTGTTGATGTCAGTGCCCCGCAAAGAGGTTTAGGATTAGAGTGAACCAATCGCTATAAGTCCTCACATCAGTTCCGGTTGTCTGTCTTCCTTCCTCAATTACTCCACCTGTGTTGTGGGTCACAGCAGTGGTACATGGGATTGTTATGGTTCTGTCTTTGACTGTGTCATGTTATCTTATTACGGGGATGGTGTCAGCCTGTGCCATGGTTAGAGGAGCTGATTCCATGCTTTAGACATCCTTTTAATACTGGATGTCAGTTCTTGGATCGATAGATCAGAGATGATCCTCATGTCATACCCAGAAATCAATGCGGGTCTTAATCCCCAATTCTTGGGTTTTAGGTGAAGATGGTAGGATCCTCATCCTACCCTCGTGTGGATATTGGTATGCCATGAGGAGGTTTTGGATGTACTTGACCTATCGAGTATGGTCTGCCAGGTCTTAGCCACCCTACACCTCTCAATTTCTGCCCTTATGTCTTACACATGGGTGAAGAGTATACCTGACTCAGAAGTGGTGCGGTTCCCCTTTTCTGATCTTCAGATCTATAACTTTCAGTGTAAGGAATATTCTTCAGATGCTTTTGGGGGTACTTCTTTCATTCCCTCTCACCTGTCTCTCCTCCTTCTCAGTGTGGGATTCTAGCTTAACTTGTGAGAGGAGATAAGTATCGTATCAGAAGTTATAATTTTCTTATATTGAAAATGTATTTCTGATAGGTATTTACCTCCACTCACACTTCCTATCCTTCCTCCCCACTACATGCTACTATTGGTTAAGAGATGATGCATGATGATTTACGTGAGAGACATGTTGAAGTAATTTCAACAGTGGAAGGAGCAGAAGGCTTGTGGCATGCCTAAAGAAAAAGTTCGCATATAGAGGGCAGCACTGAATGAGAATAACTAATCTTGTGAGAGGAGGTAAGTACATATTGGAAGTATATTTTCAGTATAGGAAAATTATAACTTCAATATTTTAAAGTTTTCCATAGATCATTACCTAATAATTAGCTGTTTTACTTAATTTTTCATTGCATGAACATGTTATGTATACAAGTTGAAAGTAAAAATGTAACTACTTTGTACATAGGTTTTGAAAAGAAATATACACTGGATGTGTATTCATTAATGTAACTTTCATATTCATAGTGCTTATGAAACTCGCCTGATATGTGCTGTGTGCCAAGTTGCAAAATTTGGAGTGCCTCTCTCATTTCATCACTTGTTGGAAGTTTATCAGCTTTATGTCCTTCAGCTTCTTCTTCATCTTGTAAATTCTGGGTCTGTCCAAGTAACAGTCTGACAGATGTCTGACTCTGTCAGCTTAGCAGGAACCTGAATATTTGGATCAATTGCTGTCCAAGCTTCAAAATAATTTGCAGTCATGTCAGGTGGTCTGTCTACAATTTCCTCTGTTTCTTTGTCTTCTTTCAAGAATCCCCCCCCTGATTAGAACAATTCTGATACTTGCTTCCATGACATGGCTAAACGATGCAGGGCCTCTAGGAGATTAGTTTTCTTGGCTAAGACATTTGCACTCAGTTGTTGCATGTCCTCCGTATTTTCTAAGATTCTTGTGCACATTTCTCGACGGTAATAAGCCTTTAATGCTCAGATAATTCTCTGATCGCATGGTTGGATCAATGACATCATATTTGCGGGTAAGAAAGTAATCTTAATGTGTTTTAATGACACATTAATGACGTGTGCAGTACAGTTGCCAACAAGCAGAACAATATTGTGTTTCAACTCATTGACCCATTTTGCACTGCTGCATTAAGTTGCCCCATTTTTGGTAACTTATCATAACATTTTAAAATGGCAACTTTTTCATTAAGGGTTAGATCTTTACATTTCTTATGCACTACTTCCATTGTGAAAGAGGGTTAACAAAAATTGAAATTTGTGGAAGCACCGTCTTTCATGAAGGAACAAAAACAACTGTACTGTAATTATGGAAAGGAAATGCAAGAGTGTAGAGGATCTTAATGACAACTTAGCCAGGCCCTATTTTATGGTGAACCTTCCTCGGGTCACTTGACCTTGAGATGGTTAAGCTCATTATGTGAATGGTAACATTATCCATGATCACAATAAGCGGCATCCTGTGTGTGTGTGTGTGTGTGTGTATATATATAATTCTAAGATCATTAATATTACAAATATTGGTATATTGATGCATTATTAAGACACATGATTTATGTTCTATGTCTCCTTTGTGTAGGTGGGTTATACAAGCTATGATACTTCATATGAGATTCTTAAATGAAAATCCTCCTGTGAGTATAATTGCTCCTTGTTAGGAAAAGAAACTGCTTTTATAAAAATAATTAATTCAGTGTTTTCTTTTGCTTTTACTTATTCAACAGTACTTAACCAATATTGCTTTTAACACTGCATTGTAAATAAGAATTCAACAGTTTTGGATTTGTAAAGAATGCACTGAATGAAAATGTAAGTAGTGAATTTTGTGTTGTTCCAGCGTCTTGAAAGTCTTGCTCCCAGCGAAATAAGAAAAGTTTTGTACAAAGTTCTGTCTCTTTCAGAACATGGCAGCAGGTAGGAGATTGGTGATTTTCTAGATTTCTAACACAATTAACAGTGGTTGATGTTAAGTTATTAGTTTATGTATGTTTATGTTATGGTACAGTATTTCAGTGTTTACTTAATAATGTCTTTTTTTGGTGGTATTTAGTTTTTTTAATGATTTTCGGTGTTAATCTTCAAGTGGTGGAAAAACATAATTGTCAACCCTATGACTACAGACTTCTTATGTTTTAAGTAGGTAACATCACTCTCATCATATTTCATTCCAAAAATAAAACAAGTGGACGAAATTATTTGAAATTTGACAAGAACTTTCCTAAAAGTATGTAGTTTAAAAAAATAAAACATTCAATTTTGATTTTTTTGACTATTTTTGATAAAAATTCATTATTTAATGTAGTTATTTGCACTTGGACTCTGAATAGCTCACCTGTGAGGTGATTTTCCTGTTGAGTATAGAAATACTATTTATTATTTTACAGTTTTCACATTTCATTTGCATAATCTCTAGAACCTTCTAAATGAAAATCGAAAGTTTTTAAGGTAAAAGTTTATATTATATTTTCCATCTTCTCTATTGTGTATCAACTTTAGTTATCATGTACATGCAGTGCAATGAAATGTTTAAAATTAAGAAATGAAAATATGTACTTACCTTTGCAGAATAGTCTTAAGATACCTTCTTTGGGTCATATGTATAATTTCATGTTTTTTACCTTTTCACTTATAGTTTATTTTTAATGTTTTATTTTCCTTTCCAATTCTTTGGCTTTTATTATTTATGTTGAAACATCAACTAGTGCCCACAGGCTATTATAACATTATGATCTGCAGAGATGTGTTAGTTGCAGGCAAAATGGCTTGCACACACCTATTTTTATAAAGCATTCACGAGCAAGATGACAACAGGTAAACTTTTCAAATATTAGTTGTAAAACAAATAATACATAAATAACTAAAATATAAAAGTAAAACCTCAATACCATTTAGCTATCTATCAAACTTAATATGTATAAGGTGAGAAAAAATAGTCAAGTGTTAGGGACACCAATCTCGACAATGGATCAAGGGGCAGTTAGCTTGTCATTTCAAAAAGTAATTTATGGCTGACGTTTCCTTCTAGCCTGGAGAAATTAAGCAAGAAGTCTGCTCTTTCTCTTGGTTATAAGCATACCATTCAAGTCTAGAAAATACTGTCGCTTAGCAACAGATTACTTTAGAATGTTGGCATGGTGTCTACCATAAAAGAATAAGTAATAAGCTAATTCTTGGAATGATGCCTGTGTAAAATGAAACTGATGTTTAGACTTTGACCTAGTACTTGTAGAAACTCATCTAGACTGTCATAGAGGTACTGAGAAAAACACAAAAAAAACATACGCAACCAAATGTAAGATATTGCAACTGAAGTTTTAATTGTTTGTTTCAGAAGTTTTTTTCAAAATAAAGCAATAATAACTTGGATAATATAAAATTTTGAATTATAACGTACTTGATAAAGTTAAGTTCATTAAACTATACTGATAGTAAAGTGCTTTAATTAAATTTTGAATTTAACTCAATAACTCTTTGTGACATGCACAGAAAGGAATTTAAAGAGTGCACTGTTAGTCATAGGGTTAATGTGAGGCACTTGTTTACTATTAAAAAGACAGCTGTAAACCTGGTAGGTATGTACTGTAAAGAAACCATTGAAAGTCTGAGATATGTATTATGAAAGTTGTTTTCTTGAAAGAAATTTACTGTAGACAAATATACTTGTAAGTGTGAAACGTGTTTACTTATACTAAATTTACCCCGAGGAATATTTATTGTAGGCAGACAAGTTGTTAGTCTGAGAAATGTGTTTACTATTACTAAAGTTGTTATCCTGTGAAATATTTACTGTAGACAAACAGAGCTTTTAATCTCAGAGATATGTTTCTGTTACCAAAGTTATTATCCTGAGAAATATTTACTCTAGACAAACAAAGCTGCTAGTTTGAGAGATATGTTTGTATTATCAAAATTGCTATCCTGAGAAATATTTATCATAGACAAACATGCTGTTGATCACAGATATGCATTTCAATTGCCAAACTTATCCTGAGATTTACTGTAGGCATACTTGTTAGTTTGTGACATGAATTTTACTTTACCGAAGTTATCAATCTTAAAGATATTTACGGCAAAAAAAATACAGTTAATAGTCTGAGACATGTTTACTATTGTCTGAGCTGATAGTACGAGACATTTTGTTGCTATTAGAAAACAGAGTTTTAAGCTTGAGAAATATTTACTGTAGAGAAACACAGTTGTTAGGCTGAAACTTGTATTTGCTGTCATCAAATTTGTCAACAGTTGTTCATCTGAAATGTATGCTTAATGTAAATAAACACAGAATGATTAAACCAAGACATACAGTGTTATGAGACTGATTTTTTCCATGTGGAATCTAATTTGTTTATTTTTACTTAAATTCAATCTAATTTGTTAGCCATTTAAATTTGCTTCGCTATTACTTTTAAACTCCTACTTTATATATTTTACTACTGTTTGTTAATTAATTTTTGAATTTGAGTATGTTAATGTGGTTGAGTGAGTATAATAGCTACTTTTCTATCTCAAATATGTACTTTTAGAATGTCAGCTCATCAGAGACGCCAGATAGAGGGTGCTCTTTGTAGAGTTCCAAAGAATTTTTATGATAGAGTGTGGGATATTATGACTCGAACACCAGGTGGGATAGTTGTAGCAGGACACCATCTTCCACAGGTAACTCAAGATAATATTTTTGCCTACTTAAATCTGATATTGCATTTTATACCTTGTCTTATGGAAACATTTTAATATATGATATATATACAATGATAAATAAATTTTATACTGTTGAGCTTTGTTTTTTGAACTTTAGCAACCAACTCTATCAGACATGACAGTTTATGAACTGAACTTCTCACTTCAAGTGGAGTTGCTGCTTAGTAGGATAACCCGCCCCGAATACCAGCAGATAATGGTTGAGGTAAAAAGTACCACATATCAGTGATCAGGTAGAAATTATCAGGGATTATTTTAAAATACAGAATGTACAATGGAATATGTTATGGAAAAAGCAAGATTGCATAATTGTTTTAACCATCAGTAGTTCCAAAGTTAGTACATATTATGTCTTTAGTAAGCTAATTTCAGAGTTATTGCTTTCAGTGTCAATGATTTGCCATGATAACTCATCATAATTACCTTATTTTATCAAGTTAGTCCTTTTGCTATCAGTGTTTAATATTATTCCATCTTTGACCTTTCATTAAGAAAAATCCATAACTTATAAAAGTCTCCAAATTTGAACAGAGAGATATTTCAACCATACATCACAGTAAACATGAGACATTTCGAAATATAAGTTTGATGTTTTTGGTATTTAGAAATTATAATGAAATAAAAACTACTATGTAATGTAACAGTACATTATGCTGTTACTAATATGCCTGTAACCACTAGCCTACAAGCTGTGTTTCATACATGGTAATCCTATAGGTTTTACAGATTCAGTTACTCAAGATTTATTGGTATCTCTCATTCTTACAATACCTAAAATATTGTTTATTAATCAAAATGACTAACTGTCCAATAAAGAGACATGCATTCAACATTTATATAAATTTTATATCTTTGTACACTACTGTTATTTGTTTATCTATTTCATCTTAACAAAGACATGCAAAAAAATAGTGTAGGCCTGCCTTATTGTACAGGAATAAAGTTGAGAGCATTCATTACAAGTAATAAAGCATGCATTGGACTATTTTGTTAAAAGAAATGATGCAGAAAAATATCTTCTAGAGCATTAATAGTAACACAGATATATAGTACTTACTTTATCTTATACATATAACTTATCTTTTTTAAAACAAGAAAATTATAAAAAAAAATTAGAATATTTGAATTTTACAGCTTTTGTCAAACATTCACTGTTTTCATTAAAATTAAACTTCTTTTTTTCTTCTACATTTATGTATTTTTAGCTTTGTTTCATCTTTTGACAAGTTGTCTCTGTGCAGGTGGGAAATTAATTTCTTTATACAACCTGTATAAAATTACTACAAGAAAGCGAAAAATCAACAATTGGGGTTAAAGAATCAATTTTTTTAGTTATTTCATCAAAAACAAATAGTAATAAAACTCTGGTTTTGTGTTAATCCATATTGTTTTAAAATTGATTTTATTAACATAATAAGTTTGTCTTAGCATTTCACTGTTATGGTAACACTAGTTTTTACATTAGTTTTATTATTATCATAATTTTTTCTTAACATTTTGGTTTTATATTAATACTAGTTTCAACATTGGTTTGTGTTAATACCATAATCTTACAAGGACTTTTTCATTGTTTTTAAGCCTTTGTCACATTTTTTTAATTGGTCCAGCTACTAGATGAAAAAATAAATTCTTAACCAAGGAAGAGATTATATAAAAGTGTTAAGACATTCTTCTGAATTGCCAGGAATTGTTTATTATGTTTCAGTCATTGTCAATTTTGATTTGTCCAACTGGACCAGATCAAAAAACTCATATCAGTAACTGTTAAAGTTTGAAAATTTCATTTAACCATACCTGGGTTCCCTTGAATTTTTGTGGCCTATCTTTACTAGATGCATTGGCTTTTACTGAATTATTCTCTAGTTTTTTGAATCTGAAAACACTACTATCACAATCACAATATTTCTATAAAATATAAACATTTTGTGTTGGCTGACTTATCTGAGTCTTTAAACATTAGAAAACAGATTAAAAAAGATTTAATTTTGAATTCCACATACTTGGGTCATCTATACCATGAGTATAGAATGTTTTCACACAAGAAACAGCAGGAAAGGAAAGATTCAGCTTTGTGAAGCACTAACTTAACATAAAGAGATGTTAATATCAATAGCATGGTGACAAACAAGAAACAAGAGGAAAGGAAAACTTCAGCTTGGTGAAATATAAAGAGATGCTAACCTCAATAGCATGGTGACAAACAAGAAATAACAAAAAAGGAGAGCTTCAGCTTGGTGAAATATAAAGAGATGTTAATCTCAATAGCATGGTGACAATCAAGAAACAAGAGCTTGATGAAATAAAGAGGTGTTAATCTCAGTAGCATGATGATAAACAATAAAGGAAAGCTTTAGCTTGGTGAAATATAAAGAAATCATAATCTCAATAGCATGGTGGCAAGCAATAAACAACATAAAAGAAAAGCTTCAGCTTGGTCAGATAAAGAGGTGTTAATCTCAATAGCATGGTGATAAACTGGAAACATCAGAAAAGGAAAGTTCCAATACGATATCTTACCTCCTCTCACAAAAAGCTTTCTCAACTTGTACTGCCTTATATAGGTGCAAATTTTTGCTTGCCACTAGTCTTCTTACTCCCACTTATTACAACATACTAACATGCAAATGATCATGCACAACCCTGCACCAATAGGAGTGCAACACTACCCCTATCGTAACTAGCATTCTTTCTAATCATGCACATATTAATCACTTCTTGAATGACAGTCCGACTGATTAGTTATGTTTTTCGATCACAATTTAATTGACCTCTCCACTTTCGTGAATTTCACTTTCCATTAATTTATTTTACATTTTCGTTCTGTTTCTGGGAGAGTTACAATTTATTTTATCTGTCCAATAAAGAGACATGCATTCAACATTTATTTAAATTTTATATCTTTGTACACTACTGTTCTTTGTTTATCTATTTCATCTTAACAAAGACATGCAAAAAATTAGTGTAGGCCTGCCTTATTGTACAGGAGTTATGTAAATGCAGTTTTGGGTGGTCATGACTACAACTGCTCCTACTGTGGCAGTGGAATTCTCGAACACATCTAAAGGGTCAACACCATAATTCTCAGCCCATGTAATGATAGCTCTGGTCCATTGGAAGTTGACCACTTTGATGCTACAATCAGAGCACACTGATGATTGTCCTTATGTGGTTTTCAATGATCTTTTAGCTTTGGATCTGGACAACCTTTTTCCCTCCTCCTGAATATGCCTCTTATTCATGTGTCCTTTCGGGGGACTTGCCCAGACCTTTTTCCCTTTAGGTATTTTATGTTCTGAACTTATCTTCCATTTCCTATGTTTCACCCCTGCCCTTCTAGAATGTTTTGATCTCACCATCTTCTTTGTCAGGTCAGGGCTCTCCGAGGGTATATGACACGTACTGAGCTCTTCCATGTTTACTTCAACTAAAATCCTCACCTCTCCCGTGATCTTTTCCCATCACCCTTCTGGGTTGAATTTGCTCGTTCATTTGCCTGGTATTTTCTTCCCTTTATCCTGATGACTGTTGCCTTTTCATGTTTTTTTCTCATCAAATCCATCACCTTACCATGTCCCTGGTTGCACATTTCCATCTTCTCATGGGGACAGCATCCGTGCTGTAACTGGTTTGTCTGTACTCCATTCATTTTTCTTTGCAGGGGCCTTTATCACATATCTGGATCTCACTCTGTGGCGAGTGTTGCCTAACTTATGGACTAACATAAGTAAAGCAGACAGGGATTGCTGCACATCTTTGATTATCAGTGGTGTTTGACTCTTGTCCTACTGTGGACCTAATGAACAATTCCAAATGCCGCCTGGTGTTGAATGATGCACTCTGTCAACATGTTCGCTTAGCTTTACAGTATAGAGTATTGTGTTCACCTATTGCACTGTCTCCAATGCTGCAGTCCCCCGAACTATCAAACACATTATTTCCCTCCTCCTTCTAGTGGAGTATGGGAGTCCTTGCCACTTACCAGTTCCTAGCTGCTGGGGTGGTTTACCATGGAGGCCTGTTCTCCTGAGTGTCCACAATACCACTCAGTTTGAGAGTAGGGTGGTGGAATTCTGTGGGTATCAATGGCATGACATCCTTCCTACTGCAGACCTGATGTACAATTCCAGATGCTGCCAGGTATATAAGAATGAAAAAAAAAATGCAGTTTTGCCCCTCTGGCTGAGACATCCTCCTTCCTACCATCCTCTGGATGCTGGTTCGTGGGGATCGGGAGTTCATTGGAAATAGTCCAGCCACATAGTCCTCACATGTGTTTGGCTGATACTCTCCTCCTACCATGGACTTGATGATAAATTCTCAATTCCACCATGTTTTGGACTGGAGATGCAACCCCCAAAATATAGTCTCTCTTCCTACCAACCACTGGAAGTTGGTTCCCAGTGGATCTGGTTTAGTTGTAGCTGGATGAGACACAGGACTTCCCACTTGTGTAAAGCTGGGTACCCTCCTCCTACTGTGTATTGGATGATCAAATTCCCAATACTGCCAGGTTTTGTACCAGAGATGGACACCCACCTCGGCTCTCCTTCTTCCTACCATCTGCCTGATTTCAGTTTCATGTGGATCTGGTGTTTGTTATGTTGGAGGTGTGCATGTGGAGGTGGATTCTTGATACGGGAGCTCCTCTTCCTTGTCGGTATCCCATTTTTGAGGTGAAAGGTAGAGAACCTGCTTCTTACCACAGATCTGATGTCCAATTCCAGATGTTGCCAGGTGTTAGTTGAGGTTGAACTCCCATTTTTGGTCTGTTATGCCCTGGCCACTCTACACCAGAGGTCCAATTATTTCTGTATTTTTTTGGGGGACCCCTCCATGTACCTGCCCTTTACGTTTTGGTGATGCATTACTAAAGGGTGAAGAGCATACCTGGCTTAGGAATGGTGCAGTTTCCCACTGGTGTGTTGTTTTTAATTCCTTATCACACCTCATGGTCTTCCTTTTGGTGCTTCCTAAAGGGCAATCGTCTTCTCACTGGCCCTCCACCAGTTCAATGTGGGATTCGTGCTTTATATAAGAAGAGGTAAGATATCATATCAGAAGTTGACAATTTCCTAAACTGAAAATGTATTTCTGGTAGATACCTCTTCTCACATTTCCCACCCATCCTCCCTACTTCTGGTGTGATTTGGTTTGGTTAGTTATGACCAATCTTGAAGTGATTAATATTTGCATGATGAAAGAGTGTGCTATTTATGATAGGGGTATGGTTACACTCCTATTGGTGGAAGGTTGCTGCATGATCATTTGCATGTTAATATGCAGTAATAAGTGGGAGTAACAAGGCTAGTGGTGAACAAATAATTTCACAGATAAAGGACAGTACAAGAAAGATTTTTGTGAGAGGAAGCAAGTATCTATGGAAAATACATTTTCAGTTTAGGAAAATGTCAACCTTCAACTTGGAGAAATATAAAGAGGTGCTAATCTCAAACCTAATTTTTACCTTGTATAAGTATATTTTATATTTATATTTCTCTCAAGAGAGTCTTAATAGTATATTAGGAACAAATCTACACATTTCTTGTATACCTTTACCAAACCTAATATATTTAACTCTGGCATTTTCACATTGCTCATGTTATCATGTTATCTCTGAAACATCACAACAAAACATTATTACAACCTTCTGTGTGTATTTTAAGATTTTACAAACTTTCTGGTTAATAAATAATGTTAGAACTAACATTATGTCCAGCTTTAATCCACAATACTGTTCATGTCACTCAATTACATAACATCTTTTGTTTGCTGCTGATCAGGTTACTGAGATAAGTGAATTTTAATATTATCAGTAGGAAATTTATAAATTTTCTGGTGAATAGATGATAATACCATGAGGAACCATCTTTATGAAAACTGTTGTATAATATTCCAATTGATTTTTCAATTATGAACTCTCTAGTATTCTTTAAGATTAATATTATATAATAGATGGATTTTAGAGTCATAGATTTAGTCTAAAGATAGAGATTATATAATAGATTGTAGAGTCCTAGATGTAGTTTAAAGATTGAGATTACATAATAGATGGAATTAGAGTCATAAGCATAATCTCAAAATGTCAACAAATAGTTCCTATCTCACAGTAACATACCTTTGAGTAATGTGACATTCCAGATTCTGGAAGGAATGTATAAATTGTCAGCTTTTAATAAAAGTTATTTGTATGTAATAGGAACTCACTGATGAATATTTTCATAGTTTTTAGATATATTTTAGTTTGATTTACTTACAAAGTAAATTTAATCTATTAATTCACTTATCTACTTCCAGCTGATAATGGTAGTTTATTTGATACTGGAACGGAATCCAGAGCTGTCCTTTAAAGATACTGTAAATCTGGACAAGGTATGTTAATTGAATCATTCTTTATTAGTTCTTGTGATATTCTTTTTTTTTTCTTATACATCCTGTAGACTATAAAATTATAAGGATACAGAATGCAAAATCAAACTTGTTATTGTTTTGTGCTTTTAATATTATTTGGAAGGAAGATAAGAAACTATATATCACACAAAAAAACATACTCTTTTGTAAAAGCAGAAGAGTATGTCTTAAATAATGAAATTATTAGTTTGTGCTTATGTAATATTTTCTGTGATTGACATGAAAAGTCCTCTAAGTAATGGGAGATTCATCAAGATATTAGCTATAAAATAATTCTATATTTCTTGACTAATTTAATTTGTGAGAAATAAACAGAAACTTAACAAAAAAGGTACAATAAGAAGAAACAGTCTTTAAAGAAGACATTCACAGTGAAAACAAACATTTTACTTTCCACAAAAGACAGTTGCCTCTGTTGGGAGAGTTAGCTCTGAAGATGCTTTAAAAATCAGGATCTAAATGAATCTAACACTTTGGTTATCTATTGTTCCAAAATGTATCAGCTGAGATTGTAATTACACCTAAGCCCCCCCCCCCCCCTCGAAGGCTTATAATGCTAAAAATCAAGTTTTGATACCACACCATGGTGGACACAGTACAGATAGCTGATTTTGTAGTTTTATGCTCAATAACAAACAAATAAAACTTAAATCTTGAATCTCAGACTTTCCCAGAGCATCTAAAACTACCCATGTGACTGGTCATTCCCAATAAAATACTGCCAGTAGAAAAGATAACTGTCCAACTTTACAAGATAACAGAGACTTTGGAGCTATCTTTCCCACATGAACATAAACGGTGCTGCTCTTAGTGAATTACACAGAAAAGTAGGTAGGTAGAACAAAAGGAACTTGCACCTTTCTTGACCAGTGTGTTATATGGAAATTACACATATCTGCACAGATTACGATTATTGAAAAATTTCTTTAACCCTATTGCAACGGGTATCTTTTACTGCACATCACACAAGGTTTTAGTATCTTACATTCAACATTTTATTAAACTACCTTTTGTTTATGTTATGCCAATTAGTATAGCTTAAAATCTTAGTTAATAATCCATATTTTAATAGTATATAAATTTTAAGTTTTTAACGCTACAGGGCAATATTAAAATAAATCCTGAATTTCCTCTAGTGTGACACATTTTCTCTAGGTATCTTCTCTTTATTTTATCCACCACCCCTCCAAAAAATGTGAAATTAAATGTAAATTACTACCTATAAAATCGTCATTGCTCAGACAAACCATAATTTTTATAGCCTTCAATTTTGTTTGGTTACAGAGCTATCAAATACAAAATCAGACCCCTCCTGCTACACCCATCTGCAACCTATCTTTCAGGATTTGTTAACTCTTTCAGCACAGGCTTGGTCTTTGGGACCGACTTTGTAACAATTTTGTGCTTGTTATAGTTTTCATGCTATAACTTTTAAATTAGTAAAGTATGTTTACAAAAGTTGGCAGATTATTAGTACACATTACAATGCTTTCATACGCAAAATATCAATTTTTTTTTATTAAGTCTTATGTTTAAGTTATAGTGTGACTGTGGAAATTAAGTGTATTGCAAAGTTGTATTGAGAAAGAATAAACTAGTTTTATTTAAGAAAGGACTTGTATTGCTAAAGTTTCTTCGGAAAGAATTTTTACGAAAATTAACAAACAAACACAGAGGAGTAACAAATTGGTGTCAGAAGTGGGATAAAAACAATGGAAACGAGAAGTGGAAAATCA